GGTTTGTCCCTCGCCTTCCTGCGGTCCCCGGCGTTGAGCAGCGACGCCAGCTCGCGGGCGCGCACCTCGGTGCCAGTGCCCCTGTTGGCCAAGCACCTCGAAGCCCGCGCGGCGTCGCCCGTGAAGCCGATGGCGCCGGCAGGAGAAGAGAGGGCCCAGGCGACCCGACGACGCGATTGTTTTCAACCCTCCTGCTCCTCCCCCTCCTCCCCCTCCTCCCCCTCCTCCTCCTCCTCCTCCTCCTCCTCCTCCTCCTCCTTATCGGTATTGGCATCTATGTTCTTGATAGCATCGGTGAACTGCCATCTTTCGTCTTCCCTGCCTGCGCCAAGAACACCCTCCAGACCGTTGAGGTCATGTCTTTTCTGAAATCATATGAATCCAACCTGCGCACCTACGCGCCAAACTTGCATAAACTGCGCGGAAAAAAAAAACTGCCTTGCTGCAGCAATGCGCGCGCTGCGGCCGCGCCGGAAACAATCGGGTCGCCTGCAGACGAACATTCTACAGCCACGCAACTTGGTCAGAAACACCTGCGTCAACATTTCCAGTTGCGGCCTTTTTCAATCTTCTCGCGTGCATCGGATTCGCGAGCGGCGTGACGAGCGTTCAATGTGAACGGCACCAGTCCTGCATGTTCCAGCAGTCATGTCAGATTGATCTGGCGCCGGGTGGGGCCCGCAGGTTGCTCTGCCGTCTCCTCCGGGCCCCCGCCGGGGACGCTGGGGGGAGGGGATTGCCCGCGTTCGCTGTGAGGGGCGAGAAAATCACATCGGAGCGGTCCGGCGCGAAGTGGGTCCCGCAGGCAGCTCCGCCACCTCCCCTGGGCCATGGGCTTGCCCGCGTCCGTTGTGTCCGAGAATTGTAAAACAGTGACCCAAAACGGTAGAATCCACGGTGGCACCAGCAAGAACACCCAGAGCTGCGCAGCGTTTCATTGAAAAGGCACAGCAACAATACCAGCACGACAGACGGCCAATCATCGGGAACTTTTCGCGAAACGACCACCAGCCCTCTTGGGAAGCTTGGGTGTAGTCTTAGAACAGCCATTCCATGGTCCAGCAACTTGGAACGAACCGTGTTGTGGTATGGGAAAAAAGGCAGCGCCCAGCAGACGAAATGGCATCGGAACCGACGGGTGAGCCCCCCTGTTTCGACACCCTGCACACCGAAGCGACGTCTGGCATCCGAAAGCGCCTGTAGCTACCACGCATAACCCGATCGGCAGACGCTGCCCAATTCACCTGGCCAGCGTCGAGCACAACTCCGGCGACGACTTTAGTGTCAGCATGAGGGCGCCTCACTGGATTAGTGGACACGGCCGTGCCGGACGTGTGGCAGCGAACGGCGACACTTGTGGAGGCACTGCAGGTGATTTCGATATTCCCCGAACTAACGATGGGCAGGGAACGACATGTTGGGGAGACCGCGGAAAACTTCCCGCTTGCGAGATACGCTTTATCGAAGGAGCTCTTGAGCGTCCCTGGGTCGTCGAACGCCTGAACCGACGCTTCCTCCTGAACGGATCTACTGAACATCGGGCTCTTGCGACCGTGAGATGTCTGAGAGGGGGTCGCCCACAAAAGCACGGCGATGACATTCCACCATCACTGGTGCGGTGTCAGGCACCAGCTCCGTCCGCGGAATGAGGTCCAGCTAACTGGACGCAACGACCAAGGGGCCCTCGAAGAGGAGCAGGCGGGCAACGCAGCTTGAGCAGAAATGGATACAGTTCTTCGTCGTCCTCCTACTCCTCCTCGTCCTCGTCCTCGTTCTTGCCCTCATCGTCCTTTTGATATTCCTTCTCTTCCTCGTCGTCGTCGTCGTCGCCGTAGACTTCTTCCTTCTCCTCCTCCTCCTCCTCCTCCTCCTCCTCCTCCTCCTCCTCCTCCTCCTCCTCCTCCATCCCTCGCCCCCATGCGGGCCCCAGGGATGGCCCGAAGAGGCCATCCAAGGCCACCCCTTTGCCCGCTTCGTTCCACCATGCGTGTCTCCTGCTCCCGTTCCCAATCACCTCTCATGAGCAACGTTTGTGATTGGGCCGGTGGGGATACTTTGCTCGCGAGCGACGCGGTCAGCCGCGCGCCGTCAGATAAAGTCGAAAGACAAACGCAAGCCCAGCTGTCGAAGACCGGTGGGGATACGAGAAGCGTCAAGTGGCCACCATGCTTCCCACATCGCTCTGAAATTCTGATAAAGCGCGCGCCCGCCGCAGGCGTTGCCCACGCAGGGGGCTGGACATGCCCCTCGTCCTCCTCCTCTTCCAGTAGCCTCCAAACTGCCTCCCGGGGGTTTCGACGATACTGAAGAGGCCCTGGGACACACAAATAAATACACACAAATACCAGGATCCCCTATACTTTCTAGTATTTTCTGCGTTTTTGTCTTCCCCCCACTTTCCATGTTTTCCTGGGCATCGACGATTAATTGTGTCTGTGTGTTTTTTCCCCTCCTGAGATACGGCTCAGAGAAAGACAAACAGCACCATGAGGGAAAATAGCCCGGAGGCCCGCGCGGAGTTTTATGGATCTGCGCTGGGCCGCCCCCCCCTCCCTGGTGCGCGGAGCCCCAGCGCCTGTCCGAGGAATCATCGCGCCCTCCGCAACTCTATGTGCATGTCGCTTTCTCTTCCCCAACGATTGTCCCAATCCTGGCGGTGTTCCACTGGCCCTCGGGGGCAGCTCCCGGGTCCCCGGACCATCAAAAGTGGATCCCAGACGCCAAACTACCCCTGGGGATGCGCTCGGGACATCATAGGGCCGCGGAAATGCAAGCACACACACACACATCTACACATATATATATATATATATATATACATATATAATATAGGTGTATATATACACATACATACACCTAGTGTATATTACGCCCAGGTAGAACTATTTCTGTGTCTATAAGTACATATATATAGCATACGCACACACATATATATATATATACATATATCATACCATATGTATGTGTATGTGTAAATCATATATATGTATATATATGGATACATACGTATGAATTATATCATTCATTCATGTATGTATGTGTACCTATAGAGAGAGAGAGAGAGAACACACAAAACATGATTGAATATACATCGGCGGATTTCAGGGAGGGGCCCGAACACAAGCTTTCGGCGTTCCGCTCCAGACGTCTTGGGTCGGCACTGACTCTCAGAATCGCCCGATGGGGGCTTCACAAGTCTGGCATCATAGCTCAATTCAAACAAACCACAAGAGGCGTCATCCGCCACCGCGCTTGCAGCGGTTGGTGGGCGTGGTGCCCTTCGCATTCTGCGTAGAAGTGATTACTTGGGACCCCCCGGCGCATCGGGCCCAGGATGCGTTCCTTCTTGTGGCCGAGTCGCTGCGGGCTTGGCCTTCCAGGCAGGTGGTGCTACCAAATGCAGGCCCTGTGGAAAAGGTGGGGGGCCGTGGGGGGGTCCGTGCCGTGCCCCCACCCCTCCCTCCCCCCAAGTGCCCCCCCCCACCCCTCCCCCCGCGGCCCTCCCACCCCCCGCGCCCGCCCGTGCGCGGCGGCGGAATCGCGCGGCAGCGCAACGAGATAGCCTCACCGCTCTCAGTCTGCACCGATCCCGCTCGCGGATCCAACGCCCGATCTACTCTCCCAGTGGCTTGCTTGGCGTGCACCGCCTGCGCGGCGCCAGGTGGCGCCGCCGAGGGGGGCCCGACGCCGATCCTCGGCGGGCACGACGGTGCCGATGCCGCTGCACCCGGGCCTCCCTTGGAACGCACCCCGACCTGAGCGTCAAGGAGAGTCCAGCCGTGGCGACCGGGACTCTCGCCACAACGGGAAAACGGCGCCGGTGCGATGCCCAAGACATCTGCACAAACCTCCGAAATGTTGGGCCTCTGTCGCCTTCTCTTCTTCGGGCTGAGACGGGCCGCGAACTCGTCCACGGCGACGGCCTCGTCCTCGCCGAGGCCGAGGCGCGCCAGGAGGTCCTCTGAGCATCGTTCAACCGATCCCTATCCCCACTGGCGTGGCGTGGGCCCCACTGGCCGATGTGCCCCCCTGGATTGGGGTACGGGCTGTCCCCTTCGAGCTTCGAGGGGCAAATTCCCAACTGGGGTGGTGCGATGCTGGGGATCGGGATGGGCATGGGCACGGGGATCGGCGAAACGATCGTGATCCTCGGGGCCGACCATGTTCTGCCGCACGTGGCCGAGCAGGTCGGCCAGCGTGCCGTCGACGCCCCCCGGCAGGCCCTGCAGCCAGCGACAGAGGAAGAGCCTTAGGGAGGGCAGCACTCCCCTGACCTTCCAGGAGCTCGACATCTCAATCCCTGTCGAGGTTTTAGGCAGCCCGGATAGGTCTATAGGTCTGGGGGGGCTACCTTTTAGCACTCTGGAAGGTCAGGGTCAAGGCGCCCTGGGAAACATTTGTTTTTTGATCCGCGGGTCGAGAGCGCACCTCTTCCGGTCGAAGCTAAGCGGGCCGCGCGAAGCTTGGATTAGGCAGAGAAGAGGAGGGAGGAAGCGGCGGAGCCTCAGAACGAGGCCGAGAGGAGGCACAGCCTCGGATACAGGCGGTGCCGAAGCCGAAGCTCTTGCAAAGGGACGCCTTCGGCAGGAGCCCGGTGGCGAAATACCGGAGAAGAGCGAAATGCTACCGTAGGTCCAGGGATGTGTATGGGGTTAGAGTACAAAGGTGCACAACCCCCTGATCCGTAGGTAGAGGAAGGAGGGAAAGATAGGGATCTTCTCCTCCTGTGCGACCAGCGTCCTGGTCTCTTCCAATACCTGAGCCGACAAGGCAGGCAAAAGGACGAGCGAGGAGTAGAGATGAGGGTATGAGACGGGTTCCTCTCACACGGGAGACGCACACCAACACCCGCATCCCCGCCGGCGTCCGCATCCCCGCCGGCCGTGGGGCGCGCCGGGCGAGCGCGGGGCTCCGGGAGGGCTCGGCCGCCGACCCGCGACGGCTTTCTGCGGCGGTGCCGCGGGCTGTCCGGGGAGAGGGGGGGGCACGACGTGTCCGCCCGTCTCGGCGCAGAGGCCCAGCAACAGGGCTCAGCAAGCGTCCCAGATCAGGAGATCTTTTTCGTATCTTGTCGGCGGTGCCCCAGGGGCTATCCGGACGGGGGGAGAGGGGGAGGTGACGGTCACGCGTATCCCCTGCGCGCGCAAGTGGGGCGCACCCCCGTCGAGCCTGCGCAGGCAGCAAGGTCGGGTCATCGGGAAAGGACGGGTGGGGGGCGGGCGGGCCAGATAACCCAGGGCATCGCTGGACCCCTACGAAGGAGAAAAAACAGCGACAGCGCCCATGGCTGCCCAGCCAACGCTGGTCATGGAAATCGTGGTAGTTGTTCCTGTTGTTCCTCCCCTTGAAGCCTGAGGTACAGGAAGTCCTCCCTGAAGACAAAGATGTGGGGAGGGCTCTGCGCGATACCCTCGAACAAGGGCTTCACGCTTCCCTTCAGCCCGAGCGTGCTCATGCCCGCCTCGAACTCTTGGAGCTGGAGCCTGTTCTTGCGCTGGGTGTCGAGGCGCTCCCAGACACAGCCGAGATCGACCCCCGCGGCTGGGAGGAGGAGCGCCGCAAAGCTATCCAGGCGCGCCTGCTCCGTCGGGAAGAGCGAAGAGAACGCCAGCCTCCTGCCACGGGAGGGGGACGGGGAGGTTCGCGACGCGCAAGGGGGGGTGGCGCGAGGGGGGGGCCATCCAAGAAGGCGGGTTGCTTGTTCTGAGATGGCGGGGCCCCCCTCTACGGGGCCGGAGGTTTCCACAAAAGCTTCCTGAGCAGCCAGGGCGTCCTGATGAAGGCCACCCATCTCGAGTAGCCCTCTTCTGCGCGCCGCCGAGATGAGGAGGGAAACGACTCACACGAGCGACGAGCATATCCGTATCCGCGCCCTTGCGGTCTGGATTCCGCGGCGTGCTCCCGCGGACACGCGGTCGCACGGCTACGCTCCGCGCGGGGCAACCGCGACAGAAACGCCCCGTATCCGCGGGGTCGCGGCCCAAGGGCCCGGCCCGCGAGGCAGCGGACACGGATCTGCTTCTGTTCGCCCACGAACGACGGCGGCACCGAAGAGCGGCTTCCCGCGAAGCTGGGGCGACTTCCGAGAGGCCGCCCTGCCTTCCGAGCAGCTCTCCCGCAGGCTGCTCGTGGAAGGCCGCCCCCTTCGAGCGACCCCCTCTCTGCGCGCCGCCAGTCGAGAACGAGAACGAGGAGGAGGAAGAGGAGAAGGAGGAGAGGAAGGAGGAGGAGGAGGAGGACGAGGAGAAGTAGGAGGAGAAGGAGGAGGAGAAGGAGGAGGAGGAGGAGGACGAGGAGAAGGAGGAGAACGAGGAGGAGGAGAGGGACGAGGAGAAGGAGGAGGAGAAGGACGAGGAGAAGGAGGATGAGGAGGAGGAGGAGGAGGAGACGTAGGGCGACGACGAGCCTTCTGCACACCGTGCGATCACAGTCGAGACTGCTAGTAGGGACGTGCGACGAGGAAGCAGGCACCTTGGACGTCCACGACGAAGCTCTTCGAGCAGGGCTCGCCATCCGAAGTAGTCAAGGATGGACCAGGGAGGCACGCATGCCCATGGGTACCCCTGGGAAGTTGAACCTTGGCGGCGCGCACAAGAGGGTGGGGGAGGGGAGGGAGGCTTCTCCGAAGGAGGCTGCTTCTTAGAAGGTACGGGCCTTGCATTGGGCCCGCACCTTCAAGAGGCAGGGGATCTTCCAAGAAGCCTTTCCTCCCTCCCCCATACCCCCCCCCTGCGCGTGTCCGGCCGATAACCGATGTGGCCCTCGTGCCGCCTGTCTCGTGCCCGGCGTCGCGGCAGAAGGGGGAGAGGGCGCCCGGGCGGGAAGAGACAGAGGACGGGGAGGCGGCTGCTTCCCTCCGGCCGCGGCTCTCGCAAGGTCGGCTTGGATCAGTGGGCGGAGGAGTGGGACGCAGAAGGACATGCGTGCCGTGTGTCCTTGCCGAACCGATAGCACAACCATCTTGCAGTGCATCGTTTCCCGAGCTGTATAGCCAGACCGCGCCCGCCACCGAGCAGGTACTGTAAAGGTTCTCGGCGAGCGCGTCGCCACTCCTCCTCCTCCTCCTCCTCCTCCTCCTCCTCCTCCTCCTCCTTCTGCTCCCTCCTCCTCCTCCTCCTCCTCCTCCTCCTCCTCCTCCTCCTCCTCCTCCTCGGGGCGGCGCTCACAGATTGTAAGTGTGTTGGGCTGGCGCCGAGAGGCGGGCGGGGGCGGTGACGACGACGACGCTCCTTCCCTCCAAGCTCAGCTGCTGCCAGATCGGCTTCGCCAGGTGTGGCGCCCCCACCTTTTGGGAGGCATCTCCTGGGAGGTCTTCGTTTCGCCATCGCTCGGACGTCCATTCCTTGTGTTTTTTTCGGTTTCGTGCGTGGCTTTTTCGCCAAATGATCAAGGATGCTCCTCGATGGTCCTCGCCGAAGGAAACATGCACACGTCCGAGCGATGCCAGGTCGTGGAAACGAGTAGGGGCTATCAGGCCCGCTTGAGGTGCTTGAGCCGGCTGGGGCCCAATGAGACCCAGAATCCGGCCGGAGAAAACAAGATTTTGCGGGACCAAGCTGGAGCAGCAGAATTTTCGCTCGAAGATGTACCGGCGCGCCGATTTGTGAATTGAGCCTCCCAGGAGTTGCATCCGAAACACCTCCTTGCAGCCCTGCAGGAACTCCTGGCGGCGCACCTGGTGGCAGCAGAGAAGAGCCTCCCGCCCCCAGTGCCGCTGGCCAAACCTCCTGTCTGAAGGGGCCCGCGGATATCCGACGCATCGAAATATGTGCTGATTTGCTTCTACGTTTTCGACCTCGCCCCTGGAGCATCAACAATGACTCGGGATGCTGAACTGGCCCCAGGAAAAAAGGGTCGGGGCATCCGGGAACCCAGTGCCGCGGGTTCGTGTCGTGCCGACTTCGGCCCTGGCTTCTGACGCCGTGGGGGTCGGTCAACCTCGAACGAGCGCCCGTTGCCGAAACGTCAGCTCGTTCAACACCAGCAGGACGCCGGCGGCGCTTTCAACGCTGAACGCCAGCGGCGGGGTCGCCGAAGGGTCGACACGACGCGAGCCTGCCATACTTCGGATACAGTGCGGGCGCGGCCGCAAGAAACCCTCGCAAGAAACCCAACCCCTAGAGCCCGTGCGCGAGGTGCACCTGAAGGGAAACGTGGAGCACCCTGAACGCAGTGGCTCCTTCCACGGCTGCGGGAAGTCGCCGCGCAGCGCGAGGAGCGAAGAAATCCCGGATGCGCGCCCCCTCTGTATGGCACGAGCGCGAATGCCGCCCTCGCGGTCTGGTGCCGACTGCGCGCGCCGCCCGGAAATGAGAGGTCCGAGCAGTCTCATTGGGGCGCGCCGGCCGCGCCGCGCGCGTGCCGCGGGAAGACGCCCAGGGGGCGCCCCGTCGGCGGCAAGCGCTACCCGTTCGAGAGTTAGCGAAGCGGCCGCGCTCCAGGCTGCCGCGCCGCGCGCGACGCGGCTCGCGCCGCGAACGAAGGCGCCGTGGGCGCAGACGCGCATTTAAATCGAAACAACCAAAACACCTCCGGGCGACGCGACGCCAGAGGCAGGGCAAACAATTGTCTCTCGTGGCGCGACTGCGGAATTCATCTCATAAGTCGAAGCTCGGCGACCGACGAATGGCGCTCTCGCGCTCCCCACCCCCCGGAGAAGCACGGCCCGCGCGCTCGGGGCGCGCAGGGCGCGGGGCGCCGCACCTCTGCTGCCCCCCCCCCCCCGCGGGCGACGCAGGGCGGCGGGGGGGGCCGGCGGGAGCCGGGCTGTTGGGGGGCAGGGGAGGGCAGCGACCATCGTCACTGTCGATGTCACCACATTGCCATCGTCATCGTCATCGTCATCGTCATCGGCGTCATCAGCGTCGTCGTCATCGTCATCGTCATCGTCAGTATCAGCATCAGCATCATCAGCATAATCCTCATTATCATCCTCATCCTCGTCATCACCATCGTCTTCGTCCATATTAGCATCCTCATCCTCGTCACCACCATCATCATCATCATCATCATCATCATCATCATCATCATCATCACCATCAGCATCATCATCATCACCATCACCATCACCATCACCATCATCACCATCATCACCATCATCATCACCATCATCACCAGCATCATCATCACCATCATCATAAGTATCAGCAGCAGCAGAAGCATCAACATCAGTATCAGCGTCTTCATCATTACCATCGAGGGCATCACCATCCTCGTCGTCACCATCACCAACCTCGGGTCCCAGACGGCCGGCCGGGACGATCTGGTCACCCCCACAGCGCTGTCGGGGAAGCGCAGCTGCTGAAAAGCACCCTGAGGCGGGAAGGCCAGTGAAAACATGCGAATGCCGATCCCCTCCTCGTCTTCTCGAGAGGGAGCAGAAGGCGGCGCAGGAGGAGGGCTGTGCCCTGTCCAGCTTGCCGTGATCGTGGCGGGTGCGGTCACACGACGGTCCCGCTGCACCCCGAAGTGTCGAGACCGAGGAGGACCCTGACGTCCGCCGGTATGATTTTTGTTTACAGCCGCGGCCCCAGGGGTTACTTGACGAGCGAAGAACGGTATAAAATAAACTTTTTCGCTGTCGGGGGCGCCTGTCCCTGGGCGGCTGGAAAGATTATACCCTTACGGTGCCACCGTAAGGGTATAAACTTTCCAGCCGCCCAGGGACAGGCGCCCCCGACAGCGAAAAAGTTTATTTTATACCGTTCTTCGCTCGCTGAGTTACGACCGACTCCCCCGGGGGCCGCGGAGAGACGGAGATCGAGGAGCACCGCCCAGGTTGAAGAAGAACGCCTCGTCGAAGATCTGGGGAGGAGGGCCCCCCATCCCACCCCTGTGGAGAAACAAAAGGAAAAAGGCATCGCCACCATAGTCGGGGGGGTTCCCCTATAGTGGTGTGTGGCTCGCTCGACACGTCCCCGATCCCCAGCTCGGGGAGGCATTGTCTTGTGGATGCCGCGACAGTCCTATCATTAAATTTAAAATGTGTTTGAAATGTAGGAAAAACGTTATAAACATGTTTTTGGCATGTTTTGCTTTCACATGCTTAAAACATGTTTAACACATGTTTTAGACATCTGGAAATTGTTTGGCAGCATGCTTCCTCTTCATAGATCGCCCTCCACAAGCATTGTGGACCTCCTCGCTGGAGCTGGCCCCCCTGGTGGTGGCCGTGTCGCCTCCTCCCACATGGGGTCCGAGCAGCTGGGGTCGGAGGATCGCGCCGCATCGCCGCTGCATCGCCGCTGCATCGCCGACGCGTCGACGACGCGTCTCGGGTCGGGCGAAAGGGGGCGGGCTGCAAAGGGGGAGTTTGAGAATCAGCTCACGCAGCTGCTTTTCCCGGCGCCTCCTGGCGCCGGAGAGGCGGCAGTGTATCGAGGAATGGGCCCGGCGGCGGGGCCGGCCGAAACCAGCTGCATGCAGCAGATGTCGTGACCCCCCCCTTTACCTATTCCCCCCCTTTCGTCCGGCCCAAGCGTCAACGACGTCGGCGACGCATCGGCACCATCGGCGCGGAGAACATCGGGCTCCACATCCAGCCGCATCGGCGATGCATCGGCCCTGCCGCGCGATCCCCTGACCTCATCTACTCGGACTCCATCTGGGAGCCCTAAAGCTTCCCCTCTCTCCCCCCCTTTGATGTCCTTTCCACGCGAGCCCACGTCACCCCTGGCGCTGTCCGGACTTGGACCGAATTCCCCCTGCACAAAAAGGAAAAAGGAACATGATAAAAGAGAAGACCGAGGAGGGGGATGAGGAACAGGAGGGGCGAGGAGGAGGAGGAGGAGGAGGAGACAGGGCCCAATGCGTTCCAGATGCGGCCCAAATGCAGGGAAAGCTGATCTCAGCGTCGCCGCCCGAGGCCCTCGCGAGCTCGAGCCCCCGTGGCTCCCCGAGGCGCCTGCGCGGCGCCGGCGGGGTCGAAGTACCTCCGCCACCCCCGCAGCAGGGAGCCGCCGCTCCTGCGCCGGAGGAGCACCGCGAGCGCGGCCACCTCGGGGCTCGCGGGCCGGTCCTGCAGTGGCGGGGGGGGAAGGCTCCCGGATTTTGGCTCCTCGCTGAAGCAAACGGCTTGTCGAGACTGAGCGGCGCTGCAGATAGCAGAATATCAGTCAGACTAAACATTGGAAGAGGAGGAGCAGGAGGAGGAGGAGGAGGAGGAGGAGGAGGAGGAGGAGGAGGAGGAGGAGTCGAGGAGGAGGACGAGGAGGCGGAGGAGGAGAAGCAGGAGCAGGAGCAGGAGGAGGAGGAGGAGGTGGAGGAGAGGGGGGGGCGAGCGAGCGAGCGAGCGAGCGTCGGAGAGGAGGGGGAGGACAGGATCGGGAGCGGGAGCGGTATCGGGCTCGTGGAATTCGGGCGTCTGTTTCAGGCCGTCGCAAGGCCTTGAATCTGCGCCGTACGGAGGCTCTGAGCGGCGGAGCCCAGTTGCCGTCAACCCTGCAGACGGCCCCCGCTCTCGGACGTGGTCGCACCGCCGATTTAAGGGCACTTCCCCCACTTGGGCACGCAGCTGGAGGAGGAGGGGCGGAATGGAGAGGAGGGGAGAGGAATGGTGGAGAGAAGCGGGGGGGGAGGGAGGTTGGTACTGGTATTTGCCTTCGGGGGGGCTCTGAAGCGTCCAACTAGAGCCTTCTCGGGCCCTCCGCTGAGCCTCTTCGACGCTACTGGCGCCATCTTGGGCCGCATTGGAAAATGTTCTGTCCGTCTTCGAGTGGTCTCAGGGCTGTGCGTGTGTGTACGTAGCACCCCGCAGTTGCGGATAAGAGTGAGGGGGCGGCGAGGACGTCGTCAGTCTGCAAGGCTCTGAAGAAGCCCGCCGCAGGCGCCTAACCCTTACAAATTAATACAGTGAGCCCGCCGCAGGCGCCGATTTCTGTGTTCAAGCAATGTGGGTGGATCGCGGGGTGGGTCGGGGGTGGGTTGCGGGTGGCCCGCGGATCGGGTCGCGGATGGGTCGCGGGTGGGTCGTGGGGTGGGTCGCGGGTGGGTCGCGGGGTGGGTCGCGGGGTGGGTCGCGGGGTGGGTCGCGGGTGGGTCGCGGGATGGGTCGCGGGATGGTCACGGGCAGATCACGGGGTGGGTCGCGGGGTGGGTCGCGGGTGGGTCGTGGGGTGGGTCTTGGGGTGGGTCGCGGGTGTGTCGGGGGGGGGACGACGACAACAACAACAACAAGCATGATCCTCCCCGCGGATCCCCACTTCAGCCACGCACCCGGGAACAAAGAATGAGCGTTCGGCCCCCTCACTCTGACACACACATATATATATATATATACACGTAAGGGAGTTAGAGAAGGGGGAACAAAGCATGACACATCAAACACACAAAAAACAATACCACATAGTTTTCGCCACGTATCATCGCTGACTTGGGGGCAACCGCGAACTTGCAACGCTGGATCCGCTCTTTCCCGTCCTGAGAGTCCTCTGTCGTCACCAGCTTGAGGTCGGAGCCGATGGAAACGCGCTGCACCATGCTTCCCGCACTCTCCGACTCGGCCTCGCCGGAGTGTGCTAGGGGAGGAGGAGGAGGAGGAGGAGGTGGAGGAGGAGGATGAGGAGGAGGAGGAGGAGGAGGAGGAGGAGGAGGGGGAGGAGTAGGAGGAGGAGAACAACGATGACACAGACTAGCTATCAAGCGGCACGGCAAAACGACAGCAAGCGCTTCACCGATAAGAGTACGAAACAATATGGTTGCTTGAACACACGCGATACATCGGCTCTCTGGGATGATAAGACAGCGACATGCTGCGCAGGTCACGATAAGAGGCATCAGCTGTGGCTCCCAGTGGTGCGGTTTGAACATGGTTCCAAAGCTCAGTGGCAACAACGACGCAACGGAAGCCACCGCCCCTGCAACAGAAGGAGAGCTCTGCAACCAGGGGGCCACGAGGACCCTCGCCTCAGGCAGGCCGAGGCGCCACTTCGCTGTCTTCCCACAACTACACGCAAGAGTGACCCTGGATAAGAGCGACCTCTGGTGCGCGGCTTTTTTGGGGGCCGCGGGGAGACCAGACCTGGGCGCGCAAGCCGCTGCTCTCGTTTTCAGCCATCTGAGGGCCACCTGTGCCCGCAGCAAAAGATCACTCCGGCGAAAGGTCACTCTTGCGTCGAGTCGATCCCCACAGCTCTGGAGAGATTTTTGTTGTTGTTGTGTTTCTACTTCCAGGCGACGATGACAACATGACCCGTGAGTACTGCAGAGCACCGCAGCAGGGCTGCGCCGCCACGGGTCGCGGAGAGGCGCCTGGATAGCGAGGAAAACAGAACGAGGAGGGAGCAGCACGGAGCAGGGATCGGGGATGGACAGACCTCCCTGTAGTAAAACGTGGCTTAGTGAAAACGACCTCGGGCCCAAACCTGGCGGGCGCAAGCCTGGAAAATGACGGCCGCGGCGCCCTCTCGAGAACCGAAAGCGGCCAATTCCTTAGTCGACGTGTCAGGGTAGGAGGTCTGTCCACCCCCGAAGGAAGAGAGACGAGGAAGAGAAAAGGGGCGGGCCCTGCCGTCTGGCGCTGCGTTCCTGCCTCCCGGCGCGCGCCCCCGGAGGCCTCGGGAGGCAGCTCTTCGGGCCGTCGCGGATCCGTGCCCGACGATCGCTTTTGGGCCGGCGAAAGGTCACTCTTGCGTCGAATCGATCCCCACAACTCTGGAGAAACGGGCCGGGCCCTGCCATCCGGCGCTGCGTTCCTGCCTCCCGGCGCGCGACCCCGGAGGCCTCTGAGGGCCACCTGCGCCCGTACCAGAGGGTCACTCCGGCTAAAGGTCACTCTTATACGTCGAGTCGATCCCCACGGCTCTCTGGAGAGGAAAGGGGGCGGGCCCTGCCATCCGGCGCTGCGTTCCTGCCTCCGGGCGCGAGGCCTCGAGAGGCCTCGAGGGGCAGCTCTCTTCGGGCCGATCGCGGATGTCCGTGCCCGGCGATCTCTCTCTCTCGGGGGCCGCGCCGCCGGGCCGCGGCGGGCCCAGGGCAGCGGAGCACGCAGAGGGAGATTACAGTCAGGTCGGGCCTCTCCCCCCTACAGGGGGGGATTGTAGGCGAGAAATCTTAAAAAGGTCAAAGAAAATACCATGCAACACTCAAACTGCACTACTTTTGTTTACCTGGCTTTGAATGACCATTTAAAAACCATGTAAATACCATATACCATTGTGAAACAAAACACATCCCCGCACTACTTTTCTTACCTGTTTTTGAAGATTCCTCCGGTAGAGGGACAGGCCCGACGCAAGATTTCAGGAAACAGGTCCAGCCGCCTCGGAGAAGTGGGCAGAGAGAACAGCGCGGACCCCGAAGTGTCTCGACCCCTGCCCCCGGGACGGGCTCTTCGCCCTCCGCCGCCTCGATGGCGGCCCCGGGGCCTCCGCGGGGGGTCCCTGGTGCACGTGGTGCACCTCTCGTCGCGCTCCTTCCTGATGGTGCTCGCTCCTGACTGTTTCTGGCCCGTTGGTGGCCAGGAAGAGGCCCAGGATAGAACGATTATAGGAGAACAAAAAGTGGCATAAACATAAAAAAAATCTGAGGTCCGCGCGGATTTCTCGGATCCGCGCTGGACCCCCCTCCCTGTCGCGCAGCGGAGCGAGCCAGGGGCGGCGCCGGAGGCGCCGCCGGGGGGCCCCAGCGCCGCTCCGAGAAATCCGCGCGGACCTCCGAGTTTGTATGTTTATGCAACTTTTTGCTCCCCTAATCTCTAGTCGCGCTCCTTTCTGATGGTGCTCGTGTCTGACTGTTCCTGGCCCCTTGGTGGCCAGGACGAGGCCCAGGCTAGAGCGATCAGAAATGAAAGGATCTTGGCCCAAAAAAGCGAGCAACGTGTAGGACATGCCGAGCATGGGCTTGCAATGTCTGGGCTTCTTCTGGCTCCTGGGGAAGAGGGCAGAAGAACCACCCCCATCACAATCGGCCCTACAAGCAGAGACTTGTGCAGACGCGCGAACGATAGGAACCGCACAAGGCAGAACGGGGACGCAGATAAACCGACACTGTCTGGCGCACCCTGCAAGACTGCAGCTGTGGAACGAACTCTTCTCTAGAAGTCGTTCTCTCCACGTGAGATCCTGGCTTGCAAAATACTGGTTTCTGGGTCCCCGATGGGCACGCCGGACAGGGGGAGAGAGCGACCTGGAGGGGAGGAGGAGGGCGAACGAGGAGGAGAGAGCAGTTCTTTTGAATAAGAACTCTGCCCCCAGGTGCCCCGATACAGCTGGTTCTGGGGCGAGGCTAGCCAGGGAATGTGGACCTGTCGGTGCGGAAAACACCGCACGACCATGAACCACATGCCAAATGGCATACAGGGCGGGAGGCTTGAACTGTCAGCACGCTCGGAGCACCGACCCGTAACTGCAAACCCGGACGCGCAGGCGAAGACGCAGGCAATTCTCCAAAGGCAACCGGGGACAGGCACCAGCCCGCCGCGGTGGCGGCAAGGGGGGTCGGCGAGCCACCAGCCACGCCCTACAGGATCACGAACAGCCAACGTGGAGACCTGTCGCAAGCACGACCTGAGGCGGCCACCCATCGCCCGAATCACGGCACGGCCAACCCACGATCCACGAAGCGCAACAATCGGGCCGGGCGAAAGGGGGGGATAGCAAAGGGGGGGGGGTGAGAATCAGCTCACGTAGCTGACTTTCCCGGCGCCTCCCGGCGCGGGAGGTGGCTGTGTATCGAGGGATGGGCCCCTCGGTGGGGCCGAAACCAGCTGCACGCACCAGATTTCGTACCCCCTTTCCCAATCCCCCCCCTCTCGCCCAGCCCGAAAACAGGGGGAGAACATGACGACTAGCCCGATCCTCAATCGTACGCAAGGAAGGAGGGGAAAAACACACAGACACAATTAATCGACGATTCCCAGAAAATATGGGAGAATATGGGAAGTGGGGGGAAGACAGAAACCTAGAAAATATATGAAAATATGGGGAGTATTGTGATTCGTATGTATTTATGTGTGTGTCCTGGGGCCCCTTCAGCAATGTCTTCTGCCCCCTGCTGCCCTCTCGCCGCGTCCCCGAAGTGCAGGAGCGCTGCGGAAGCACGGCGGAGCGAGGTCGCAGGGTCTCCATCAGACAAGCGAACAAGTTGCCTCGAGCTTGAGATCCACGTGCAGTCCGGGCACAAAAGACGGCAGACATGCCTCATCAACAATCTTCAAGCCTCGGATGCGAAGGTGCGTACCCCTGAAGTAACCAGCCTCGAACGTATCCCTATCCCTAAGATGGGCGAGCAACAAGCGAGGACAATCTTAGGGATAGGCCCTCAGAAACTGAGGGAATCCTTAAGATCGGCATCGAGGTGAAGTGATGTCAAACATAGGGATAGTGATATGTTTCAAACTGGTAATGAAGACGGTGATCCTGACAGCGCTGCTCTTCCTGCGGAGTGCACTTGAGAATATGCTAGAAGCAGTGCCCCTCGATATCGGTCCCCGGCATAGCAAGCCGCCGCGCTTCAAACGAAGATGGCAGTTAGACCCGCCAGAAACGTGAACAAATCTGGGCCGCAACCAAGCGTGACAGCGGCATTCATATCGCGCTGCTTAGGCCCAGGGCACGATGCTCCTCTGGGTTCGGCAGTGTCCCGGGGCCCCAGTAGACCCCAGTAGACCAGCAAGACGCCTCCAAAACTTGCCCTGGCACTGCCAATCGCGCGCGCGAAATAACGAAACCACAGTTTTCATTGAAACCCGCTCTGCCCGCGCTCACCGCTGCACAGACAATGCCAAGGCCGCAGGGGTAAAAGTTTCGCGGCAAGACGACGCTCAGTTCAAGCCGTGGACATGCTTGAGCCAATCAGCTCGTGGCCAGCCATCGAAACTCGGGGGCGCGAGAGGGCATCAACCCCGGCGCCTCCAGGCCTCGCTTTCCTCGATTCCTTCTTCGTCGGGATCGAGGAAGGCGCGGACTTAGGCGAGGCCACATGTGTCGGCGCGCGGATTGACGCAAAGCCTGTGTCTCGCGCGTTTCCTTCGGCACGATGCCCCGCCCCTGCGAGGCAGCTGGAACTGCTCGCCAACCGCTGGGCCATCGCGCAAATATCAATGGGCCCTGACAGATGCAAAGAAGCCAGCTCCAAAGCAGCGCGCTGCGCTGCGGGGGCAGTCTGAAGCAGCTGAGCCAAAACAGGCGCCGGAATCTGGCAGTTGGGCAAACCATCTTCTCCTACAACGGCAATGCCCCCTCCAGTTCAACAAACTCCTGGCCCCAATTCCGAAAAAAACAATACCGTCGATAGATGTAGAAAACTAAATGAACCCATCATCGAAGTTGCGAGTTCCCCAGCGGCAAAGAAGTGGGCCCCACCAGGAACGCAAGCTCGGGTCAGGATCCTCCAGGATGATCGAACAGACCCCGAGCGCGCATAATCAGATCGCCACCAAGAGGACCCTAGTAGCCCAGCCAAGCTCCAAGCCAGCGACGAGGGGTCCCGTTCAGCTTCACGTGCACATTGCCAACGCCAGTCTAAAAACGCATCGGGCGCTTTCCTGCACGACGGGCATAAA